TAGAGGAAAGTGCAAAAAGGCGTCCGCGCGGACCCGGTCACTGGACACTGTCCGGGCCTTTGGCTTTGGCCCGACATATCGCCCATATCTTAACCCGGACAGTAGCAAAGTGACATGGGATCAGGTACTATCACGTCTCAGAGAGGGTTGATGGGCCCTGACACTTCCGGCTTCCAGACAGTCAGCGAGTGCGTCACACATCTGACGAAGGTTGATGAGATCGACCGAAAATTTATGCTGGGTTTCCTTTTTGTGTTGGAACAAAGCTTGAACTCTTTAACTATGGATTCTACCAACACAGATGAGTTTTCATTCACTCCATCATGTATGTTGAGGTAAGAAGTGCTTACGCTGACACCTGGGACTGTACAGGCTCCATGACCCTGTCTCCGTGCAGGTCCGCGACGACGGCCCCTCCAGGACGTAACCATTGTGGCAGGTGTAAACCTGTACATCCCCATAGTAGTGGCCATTGTCCTTTATATCACAGTGAGGCACATCTGGTGGACGTCCACAGTACACTCCTGTAGGAGCATGTTACATTAGACTACACTTCATCTACTGTAAAAGTCATGGACCAACCTATAAAAACTTCAACTAGCCATGCAAGAAGCTGCATATACATTGTATTTATGTTTACCGAAGAAAAACATATGGTTTTTGCTACATTTCCTCTTCTGTTCCAAACACTGACCTCTGACCTGGCCAATGACCTGATTTGTTGACGTCTCTCACCATGGTAACTGGTATTGGGTAACATAATGTTGCAATTTTATAGTAGGAGGGATTTATACTCCTGTCTGACCATATATAACTAATTATGAATGTAATAGTAAGAATTAACAGAGCAGACCACATATGCAAAGGTAAACATTATGAATTTGCTTTGCAAATGTTACCTAGTGTCTAGTATTCTTTATTTGAACAACTTACACAATTATAATGTGTTACCAAGGACAATTATTATATTCTTCTAAATTACTTAACCTTCTCCCTGCTGCCTAACCCATAACAACTACAAATTAGGTGCCAAATGGCTACTTTAGCATGCCAAAGGTTAATAAGGCAGCTACATAATATATTATACACCATGTGGTCTTTGCCTTCTCGAAACTGTGACTAAATGTAGTAGGCATTTGTCAGTCTTAAATTAATGTGACTAAATAGGATACAAAATATGATGATCAACTGAACGTTATTTTACTTACTTTTACAGATGGGCCCTATCCCGCTCCATGTTTTATCAGCTTGGCACTGCCGCTGGGCACCTCCTTCCATTTCGTACCCTGTATCACAGGTATACTCCACCCTCTGTGTGTAGGTGTAGTCTGTTCCATTCACAAACCCATGGAGGACCTGTGGTGGAGGGCCACAGGTAACAGGAAAACAGGCAGGTTGGGTGCCACTCCATAAGCCGTCCGCTTGGCACGTTTGCTCACGTGTTCCCTGTAGCTCATACCCACTGTCACACTGGTACATGATCTTCTGGCCGTACGAGAAGTTGTTACCTATGACGACACCATTTCTGAAGGAGCCTATAGTGTCACAGGTTATGAGGACGCACCGCAGAAGACTTGTTGTCCACTCGCGGTTGGATTGGCAAACTCTCTCTGGGTTGCCTACCAGCTGGTATCCTTCGTTACATGTATATACAATCTTCTGCTGATATGTAAAGTCACTACCTGTATACTGGCCGTTAGGTAGAGTTTTAGGTTTGCCACAGTCGACAGGTACACATTCTGGAAGCTCTCCTCTCCAGGTTTGGTTTGCTTGGCAAAGTCTTTCCTGGTTACCCTTCAGCTCAAAGCCAGAATCACATACATAGCGCACAGTCTGTCTGTAAGTAAAGTCGCCTCCGAGCACCCTTCCGTTGGCTATAGCTGTGGGAGGAGGGCAGTGAAGAGGCAGACATTCCGGTTTATCACTGCTCCAGGTTCTGTTAGCTTGACACGTTCTGACGTCAAGTCCACGAAGTTTGAAACCTTCCTTGCACCTGTACGTTACAGATTTTCCATACGTGAAGTCTGTGCCTTTCATACTAGCATAGGAAACCTCTTCAGGCTCACCACAACTGATGGCTTTGCACGTTGGTTCCTCCCCACTCCACTTCCTGTCCTCTCCGCAAGTCTGTCTTGCATCCCCCAGTAGCTCGTACCCCTTGTCACATTCGTATACCACAGACTGTCTGTAGGTAAACACTGAACCGGTAAACATGCCATTGCTAATTGGCTTTGGTTGACCACAGTTTACAGGACTACAGGCAGGTAGGTGTCCACTCCAAGTCCTATTAGCCTGGCAGTTCCTGCTATTATGTCCGTTCAGTTCAAATCCGGAATTACACTTGTATGTTACAGTGTGACCGTAGGTGAAGTCTTCCCCTACTAGACTGCCATCAGAGATGGACTGAGGTTTGCTGCATTGGACAGGTTCACACTTTGGCTCTACTCCACTCCAAAGTCTGTCAGCACCACAAATACGTTTGGCATCTCCAACCAGATCATACCCTTCTCTGCAATGGTAGACAACAGCCTCCAGGTAGGTTAAGTCTGAACTATTGACTACTCCATACAGAATAGGCTTAGGCTGCCCACAGCTTACTGGAGTACATGTGGGTGCTTCTCCACTCCACGTTTGATCAGCCCGGCAGGTCCTTTGCTCCAGTCCTTGAAGCTGGTAACCTGTGTCACATGTGTAGCTCACTGTCTGTGTGTAAGTGTAGTCGGTACCTTGTAGAGTACCGTGTGAGATGGTGTCAGGTTGACCACAGGTGACAGGAACACAGCGTGGTTCCAATTCACTCCATGTCTTGTCTTCCTGGCATGTACGTCTTGCTTCTCCAACCATTTCGTATCCCTTGTTGCAAACATATGTTACAGATTCTAGGTAGGTGAATACTGAACCTTGGACCTCAGCGTTAGCAATGGAAATGGGTTGTCCACAGCTGACGGGGTCACATCTAGCAGCCTGTCCACTCCAAACTCTGTTTGCTAGGCATCTCCTTTGCTTGGTTCCATGTAGTTCAAACCCTACGTCACATCTGTATGTAACAGTTTGGTTATACGTGAAGTCCCTTCCATCAAATCTGCCGTGTGTAATAGTTTCAGGCTTTCCACAGCTCACAGGTAAACACTGTGGATCCTCACTACTCCATTTTCTGTCCTCTTTACACGTTATTCTTGCCTCTCCTACAAGCTCGTAACCTTCCTTACAGAGGTAAACCACTGACTGCTGGTAGGTGAAGTCAGAACCTTTGAGATAACCATTTAGAATGTCACCTGGTTGACCACAGTTGACAGGGGCACAGGTAGGAGACTGTCCACTCCAGGTTTGATCTGCTTGGCAAAGTCTAGTGTCAGGTCCCTGAAGTTCAAACCCTGAGGTACACCTGTAGGACACTGAGTTTCCATACGTGAATTCAGTGCCATTGATGAGACCATTGGTGACAGCTTCAGGTTGGCCACAACTGACAGCAAGACACCTAGGCTCCTCCTCACTCCATTGTCTGTCTTCAAGACAAGTTCTTCTTGCTACTCCTTCTAGTTTGTATCCCATGTTGCAAGTATACACTACTGTCTGTTGGTACGTGAAATCTTTCCCTTGTACTTTACCGTTTGTTAAGGGACCCGGCTGGCCACAGTCAACAGGTTTACATGTTGGGGGATGTCCACTCCAAGTTTGATCAGCTTGGCAGGTTCTTGTTGCCTCCCCGTTCAGCTTGTAACCAAGGTCACAAGTGTAAGAGATGGTTTCTTGATAGGTGAGCTGTTTGGAGTGGACTCTACCATTGGGAACAGACTGTGGGGAGGGGCAGCTGACAGGTAAACACTGCGGAGGATTTCCACTCCATGTTCTGTCAGCCTGGCAAACTCGTACATCCCCGCCCTCTAGTTTATAACCTACATTACACAAATACCTACTCTCACCCTGGTACGAAGTATTAGAAATCATCACACTTCCATTACCAATGGGTGTGGGGGAACCACAGGAGATGGGAGTGCACTGAAAACTGCTTTCGCTCCATTGTCCATCTTCTTCACATCTCCTCGTGTCGCTTCCAACAATGGCAGGCTCGAAGCCTGGCAGGCATTGATAGTGAATGATGCTGCCATACTGATAATCTTGCCCAGTCAGCTCTGCATTCTGAATGCTTGTTGGGGTTGGACAAACAATGAGTTCACAAAATGTTTCACCACTCAGTCCCTTCCATGTCGCATCCTCCGTACAGACGACATGTTCACTACCTTGTAGTCTGTACCCTTCCTTGCATTTGTAGGTGACAGTGTTTCCAAAGGTGTAGTTATCCCCTGTCCTGACTGAATTCAGCACTGCTGGAGGGTTTCCACAGGACACAGGTGTACATGAGGGTATTCTTTCCTTCCATGAGCCACTATGCTCACACATTATCTCACTAACACCTTCCAAGACAAAGCCAGGGTCACAATGGTACGTGGAAATGCTCCTGTAAGTAAGACTGCTGTATGTTGCTTTTCCATATGGGATTTTGTTTGGGACATTACATTCAACTGGTTTACATGTAGGACTTGTATCACTCCATTGTCCGTTAGACTGACACACTCTTGTTAACACACCATCTAGTGTGTATCCTCTGTTACATACGTAAGTTATTGTGTCTTCAGAGAGATATCTTTGTCCAAAGATGTGGCCATTATTGATGTCCTTGGGAGCTCCACAGACCACTTTTTTACACACTGGTTCCAAGCCACTCCACATGCCATCAGCCTGACAACTTCTCGACACAGAACCGTGCAAGATGTAACCTTCATTACACGAATACTGCACAGACTGTCCATAGTAGTAGCGTATACCTCTAAACTTTCCTTTCTTCGGATTGCTAGGCACAGGGCAGCGTCTGGGTTTGCATACTGGGTTCTCCCCACTCCATGAACCATCAGCTTGACATATTCTGCTATGATTTCCTGAAAGAACATATCCTTCATCACAGAAATATTGTGCAGTACTGTTGTATTTGTGCCCAACATTTGTATTGACTTTTCCATTTTGTACAGTGTCAGGTTCTCCACAGGATACTGGTTCACACCGGGGCGCTCCTCCTGACCAGGAAGCGTTGGCTTGACACCGCCTCTCCCTCTGCCCTTGTAGCTCATACCCTTCCTTGCAGCTGTACTGTATGATGCTACCAAAAGTGTGGTCCTGGCCTGTGATCACACCAGCAAGAGATGTGTATGGGAGGGATACAGAGGATGGGAACACACGACGGAGGGGGGACGTTCCACGTTCCATCCCCCTGGCACTTCCGTTTGGAGCCCCCTTGCAGGAGGTACCCCTCTTTACACTGGTACTGAATAGTGCTGCCGTATGTGTACTCGGATCCGACGACTCCCCCATTTGTGATAGGGTCTGGCACTACACAGGAGATGATGACACACATGGGTAATGGATGGCTCCAAGTCTTGTCCTCTTGGCAGGTGGCATTACTTGTCCCTGTAAGTTTGTACCCAACGTTACATGTGTAGGTAACGTTGCTGCCAAATATGTAACTATCCCCTGATTTGCTCCCATGTTCGATTTCGGCAGGTTCTGGACAGGTAACTGGCTCGCACGTTGATTCCTCACCGTTCCAAGTCTTGTCTGCTTGGCACACGCGCTCCTTTGGTCCCTTGAGTTCATATCCAAGGATGCAGGAATAAATCACAGTGCTCTTGTACCGGAAATCTGCACCATCTGCACTGCCATACAGGATCTCTGGTGGTTTTCCACAAGACACGGGTTCACAGGAAGGTGAAGTGTCATTCCAAGACCCGCTTTCATGACACACCCTTGTTCCCCTGCCTTGAAGCTGGTAACCATCATCACATTGATACGACACCACACCACCATAAGTAAAGTTGTTACCCTCCACTCGGCCATTGTCAATGCTGTCAGGCCGACCACATGAAACAGGGCCGCAGGTAGGAGGTGGTTTCTCCCAGGTGCCGTCATCTTGACAGTGATACTTCTCTTTCTCTTCCTCCAGTCGGTACCCTTTCCTGCAGCTGTATTTCACAAAGCCGAGGTAGTAGAAGTACTGCCCCTGCACCAAGCCATTGGTAACGTTGGGAGGACTCCCACAGTACACAGGGTCACACTTTGGCTCTGCTCCACTCCATGTCCTGTTGGCTTGGCAAGTCCTCTCCGAAGCCCCCGTCAAGACATAACCCATGTTACACTTGTAATGAATAACACTCTGGAACTTGAAGTCGCTGATGCCAATGAGTCCGTAGTTGATGCTCGGTGGGTGTTCACAGGAGACAGGTTGGCATGTAGGCGACTTGTCTTCCCAATCTGTCCACAGCCCGTCAGCGCTGCACCAGCTTAGGTTCCTCCCTACCAGTTCATACCCTTCGTCACACTTGTACAGCACTGAGCGGCCATAGGTGAAATTGTTTCCCACGTATCGCCCGTTGTTTACGGTCGGAGGTGGCCCACATGAGATAGCTCTGCAGAAGGCATTAGTGGGGGACCACGCCTCCTCTGCCAGGCATTCCCTGGTGCCATTTCCTTGCAGTTCATATCCATGATCGCACACATACTTCACCACACTTGTGTAGGAGAAATTTGTACCCTTCACTTTTCCATTTTTCCACCACAGGGGGTTCTCCACATGATATTGGCTCACAAACAGGCAGGATACCTGACCACTTTCCGTCAGACAAGCAAGTCTGAGTGCTTTCTCCTATCAGTGTCCAACCGAGATGACATCTGTACTGTACAACACCCTTGTAGTAAATGTTTTGTGCTTCCTTGAATCCATACTGTAGTTTAGGAGGATCCCCACATGATACAGGTTTACATTCTGGCATTTTGCCACTCCAATTCTTGTTTGCCAAACATCTGCGTCTGGAGTTTCCCACCAGATAATATCCTTTGTCACAGGTGTACGTCACCTCACTCTGGTAAACAAAGTTTCCCCCAATTAGTGTACCGTTCCCCACCAATGCAGGCCTGCCACATGCCACAGGCTGGCAGGACGGCAGTGTGTGACTCCAACTTCTGTCAGCTTCACATGTCGCTGACTCAGCACCATGGAGTACGTACCCTTCATTGCAGTTGAATGTGACCGTCTCCCCATAGTGGAAGTCTGTGCCATGGATGGAGCCATGGTTAAGAGACGGCATGCTACACTGCACCGGCTCACACTGGACCTCCTCTTCACTCCACGTCCCATCTGCCAGGCACTTCCTCCGACCCGTGCTCACCAGTTCAAATCCTTTGTCACAGTCGTATTGTACCGTGTCTCCATATTTCAAATTAAGAGCTAACGGTTGCCCATACTTTAGAGCGGGTGGGGGCTTACAGGGTGCCCTTTCGCAATGCGGTGTTGCTCCATTCCACGAGCGGTTTGCCTGGCACTCTTGTATCCCTTCCCCTACAAGCACGTAGCCTTCGATGCAGTGGTACGTGATAATGCTTCTGTATGTGAAGCTGCTTCCCTTGACAAAAGCATTTTCCACTTCATCAGGCTTGCCACATGATACAGGGTTACAGTTGACCACCGGCACTGACCAACTCTTGTTGGCCATGCAGGTTGAATCGGCTGGTTTGTCAGTTTCATACCCAGGTTCACAGATGTACTGCACTTTACTTTTGAATATATAGAAATCGCCAACTGCCTTGGCATGTGGGAATTCTGGTGGAGAGCCACAGCTGATTGGCACACAGCTAGGAGGTTGACCTGACCAAGAGCCGTCGGCTAGACATGTCATGTTACTCTTTCCTTGTATGATGTACCCTGGTTCACAGTTATAGGTTATCAAGCTCTCGTACACACTGATATCAGAGCTGGAAATGATGATACCGTGTCTGATTTTTGGGGGGTTGTCACATTTGATAGGGGTACACTGTGGTGGGCCTGGCTTCCAGATACCATCCGAGTCACATGTCCTTGTGTCATTCCCGATTAAGATATATCCTACATCACAGTTGTACTGAACAAGGCTCTCATATCTAACATCACCTACTGTCAGTGATCCGTGTTGGATTTCTGCCGGTTGTCCACAGGAGATTCGCTCACATCTTGGAGCCTCGCCGCTCCATGTCCCGTTTGCCTGGCACATTTGTGACGCTCTCCCCTCCAATTCGAACCCCTTGTCACACGTGAATGAGACAGTGCTTCCATACTTGTAGTCCCCGTCCGAGAAGAGGAAACTGTGCTCCACCTTCCTGGGCGGTCCACAGGAAATACGCTCACAGTAAGGTGCATTTCCGCCCCAGCGTCCGTTGGCCTGGCAAACTCTCGCACTTGCCCCCACCAGTGTATAACCCTGCTCGCAGTGATACTGAACAGTGCTCTGGTAGGTTAAGAAGATGCCGATCATGATGCCATTCTCAATACTGTCTGGCTGTCCACAGTTGACGGGTTGGCAGAAGGGGATCTTGTAACTCCACTCTCCCGAGGCTAGACAGGTGCGTTCATCAGTGCCATTCAGAACGTAACCTGTCAGACAAACGAAAAAAACCTTAAAAATAAAACATCTGCCCAAGTAGCTACATAATGTGACAGCAAAATCTTGAAGCTATGTATATAGAAACTTTGTGACTTTTCAAAGGGTATTTGACAAAGCTATGACTTACCTGTCTTTAAACATACTATTAGACGAATTAACATAATGTTTAAGCATTTAGAAACTAGGCATCTCAAGACAGAAGACTGACCTGTGTTACACTTGTACTCCAAGGTGTGGTTAAACTCATAGCTGCTCCCTGATATCCTACCATTGTGGAGTTCAGATGGAGGGTCACAGGTTACCACTGTATGTGCAAGGAAATAAACAATATCATCAATGGTACAAACTGTGGTAAGTCATACCCATATCCCTGCAGTTTAACCTAGTAACCAAAATTTATTTGATGTCAAATGGCTACTTAGCTGGCTAAAGGTTAAGAAGATTAAGACATTGCTATATTTTAACAAAAACATTCTGGGCCATCAATGGATGGAAAATTTGTGAAATCAGCTTGAGTCTGCAAACTAAAGGACTGGTTATTTTTTTGAGACAGGATTCTGTTTCACCATGATAGCTAATGAGACTGTCAAAGAAACTATGGCCCTGTTCAGACGGAGTCAGTGAAAGCACTTTACATGTGGTTTCCGCCGAAGCCGGCCAAGTGGCCCCATCTGAATGCTCCAAAATACAAATCACATTGAAAGCGCATTGATCCCAAACCACTTCAGGATGTAGTTTTGAACCTGTTTTCCCGGATCGCAATTTGTGTCTGAACGCAATGTGATTTCAATGTGACTTCACCTGGTCATGGATTACGGGGTGATATTTCTTTATTTATATGCACTACCAAAATTTACGTGGCATTCTAGGACGAGCTTCACCGCCTCTGAGGTATGCAGGGAGGGGGGCACCAGCAAGTAGGTCGTTGACCTCTGACATTGATAACACGCTACCTTGCATGTTTTCATCAAACAACAATGAATGTAGATTAAGTGAATCGTGATCGGACATGGTTTGAAAGGAACGTGCGGCACATGGACCCGATGTGAGGAATGTGAATTACCCAAATCGCAGTTCGGCCGGTTTCATGTGAACAAGGCCTACAATGTATAATTATGTACCAACCTTTACAGCTGCGTCCATCCCCAGTGAAGCCCAGTCTGCACTGACAGGTGTAGTCTCCAGGTGTGTTGGTGCAGTCGGCATCAGCTGAACAGGTGTGGAGGTCCTCAGCTGCACACTCATCCACATCTGAAGGTATGGGACATGTTAACAACTTTTATACTGATCTTGAATTATTGAGAACATTATTTCAATATATTGTACATGTATGAGCTTAATACATGTAGCTGGATGAATACCAAATTAAATGTGATTCTCTTTGCTCTGAGGATAAAGCTGAATTTATTGGATGCTTCTTACAAATTAGATTGAATGTACATGTACATTAATAATTGTATTTATATTGTATTTATTAAGTACATTGTGTATTACAAATAGACTCAAGAAATACATTTTATATACAAGTACTAACAAGTATTATGTTTTACTAAATTAAAATTCAAAACAAAGCAACAAACAAATTAAATACACATGTAGTCCCAAGATGGGGGCTATGTGTCATAACCATGGAAAAGAAACTTGTACATGTAACTGAAATACAATATTTTGCATTAAATTGCAGATGACACAAAAATACAGGAACTGTTATATTGAAGACAATGTTTAGCAATTCACAAATAGACCTACCCAGACATGTGGGGTGATCACCTTCCCAGTGCCCTTCAGGACCACAGGTGAGCGTGGTGTTCTTATCCAGGTGGTAGCCACGGTGACACTTAAACTGCACAGTGTCCTGGTACCTGTAACCCTGATACCTGGCACGGACAGGCCTTCCCCAGGAGACACTTGGAGGGGGACCACACGATCTTTCTTAATTGTAGAAAGGCAGTGCTTAAAGTGATGGCCAGAAAAATCAGTGATTTACTGTAAATAAAGATACTGGTAGCACTAAGACATGAACATATACCAGTACCACGAGTACAACAAGGGATTACAGCAGACTTAAGATTAGCCAAACTTCTGAAGTATGTACTGGCCAATTTTTGCTTGGATTTGAACATTATTTTGTCCAACTGAGCTCATAATATCAAGGTTTGGTTTCCATCTGTGAATGGTATAGCTCTGCCTTCACAAAGGCACCTGCTGTATACATGTAGGATGGAGCAGGTATAGCATTTCATAGATGGAACCCAGGCTATGTAACATATAGAAGACATGTAACATACTTTCTCATGAGAAGTTTGAAATTTAAATTTTATATTAGTCACTTTATTTTCACCTTGTATGTGAAAGCGCCCCTGGACTTTGCCAAGTGCAGTACCTACTTTTACAAGCCAGTGCGTCCCCTGACCACGAGGTGTCCAGTAGACATTCCCTGTCCGGCGGCCCATCCAGTTCGTAACCCCTGTCACACCTATAGATGATCTTGGACCCCATGGACGTGTCGTTACCAATGATGGAACCATTGTTGGGTCTGGGAGGCAAGGACTCACAGCCTGGAGACATGAAAGCAATTTGAAAGTAGTGGTAAGTAAGGCCAAATCGATTTGATTAGTTGGTTTTCAGATTCGCCTGCTCCATTTTTTCTGATTTGGGAAAAAAAATTAAAAAATCAGGCTCTAAATCAAGTCCAAAATGCTCCTATTTTGGCCCCAACAGTTGATGAAAGTCCCTTCTCTTCAGACTCGTTACAGTTTTTCCATCTATTAATGTAGTGGTTTGATTGAAAGTTTGAAATTCATAGTTTGAATTACAAACCAGCCTGGTATGTTGACTTCATGGCTCCTATCATAGCATTTTGGGCTATCACAGGATGCCTAGGCCTGTTTTTATTTTATTTTTCGCCCTGTTTCTTCATATCATATTTTTTCTAAAAAATCTGAGAACCAACAACTTGATCAAATTGGTGTGGCCTAATGTTTGGATACCTAGTTATGAGGGACCTGGGAGGTAAGTGCTGGACAGAAGACAGGTGGTGAATGATGATGAAAGTTTAGATGTAAGAAGACTTTCATTACACAAAATTGCCTTTTCAAACTCAAGTCAGTGACATCTCCAAGTTGTGCCAGGACTCAAAAAGAGTAATTACACTGTGTAACTGTGAGAGATCTGAGGGCCTTGGGAATTTCATTTAGATTTATTATATGAACAGTCTTAATTTAAAACCACATCAAAACCATAATGCATGGTACATTATGTAGTTCATACATCAACAGCTAAAGCAAATACTTCAAGTCTCATATGGATGTAGATTATTAAGTGTAATGTAATGAGACATGTGAACCTTGTGTTTTGGCACTCTGTTTCTGTAAGCTCCCATCCAGCAGGTTGAATACAGAACATAGTAAGTGATAACAACCACATGCAGCAAAGTGCCACACGTAACCATGTACGTGACCAGAGGCCAGCCAGGATGTGAGAGAATGTGGGAATTGCTACTAAGATTTGCCATCAACTTTTACAGGTAACTGCCACCATTTGGTTACAATGAGATCATTTGCAACCAACTTAAATTGTAATCCTTCAAAATTCAAAACTCTCTTCAATCGTGCAGACAACATTATCACTTCAGACAAAGCCAAAACAGACGAACATAGACACCTACGAGGTGCCCTGGCTAAGTGTGGCTACCACACCCTAAGGACCAACCTCGTCTTAACTTTTTTGCATATCAATCAATAGTTCGTGCTTATAAACCTGCAATTCTCCTCTTAGTGTCACTGACAAAAGGTAGTGGATGCTACCTGAAACATCTGACCGTTTCCAAAATCATATCCAGTTGCTTGAGTAACTGCTTTTTGGCGTAATCCTTCAAAAGTTTCTATTCGAATCTAACACTACTGTCACTGCTAGTCCTATTTGTGAAGATCTGTCAGATTTCACTGTAATTTATCTTAATCCTCACAGTGCTGTGTTCACCACATGTACAGTCAAAACACTATCAAAGGTGACGAGATAGTTGCACCTGTCTGACATTTCCTTTGACAAATACAATTATACTTGCATTTTGTGTAAGGCTTTAGGACTGCTTTTCCAGATATGCTTATTCACTTCAATCTGATTAGTCGTTTCAGACTCGGAGATGATAAACACATAGCACAGTGTCACATAGCTTGTAAATTGTACAAAACAAACTTCATCACTATCTCCATAGAATATTTTTCACTAATATAATTGTTAATAAAAAGGAAATTTAAAGTATTTTGAATGAAAAATCTGATTCTTCATAGGCTAACCAATTGAAAAGCATGATTGTGAAGTTTCTTACCAGTACTCAAACTTGACGTCTGCTAACCTCTACCTAACTATCAACACGTGAAGGAACCGTGATGTTGTCCCTGAACCTGATGCTGACAGATGTCTGCAGCCGTCAGTTGAAACAGCCTTCTGCGGTCCCTCAGCCATGGGAGCTGACTAGACCAGGTGAGAAGTCAAGACTGATAGACACAAGCGGCACATGCAGGCAACCCTTCAGGACATGGAATGTTGGAGCTGGGCCAACTACCAAAGGCATTCCCTGCCATCAGACCAAAGCTTGTACTCTGAGGAATCCTCAAGTTGAAGAGTACTGCAAAACAATTCATCTTCTGTTCTCAGTTTCTATTACCTTTCCTGGGCAAATCAACTTTTTCTGCAACAAGTAGGCCTGTGGCATTACAATTTCACATGGTGCGTGACATTCCTCTGGAGACCTTATAACTGGTTTCTAAAGACTCCCAACTACAAATCGAATTTTCCACCAGCACACTCCATAACAAATCAATTCTTCCACAGGGAACAACAACTGGTACAACATCATATCCAGGCCACCTGTGATTTGGCCACTTTGATTTCTTTCTTTAGAAAGTTTCTTTTCTTCACCCCAGTCTCAACCAATCCCAAAATACTGCCAGTCAGACCCATGCGCACTAAAACACGTTCCAGGGCTACAAAAAGCTGCTAAATGGATGGTTTCACAACCCTACAAGGAAGAGAGCAAGAACTTCCATTTTCTGGTTTCTGCCCCTTTCCACACCATTAAGAATGTCCTCCCCGGGAATGACCCTGAGTTTGACCTTCTACCCAGGATCCTCCCTTATCCCAGGGTACAGCTGGTCAGACAGATTGACCCTCCAGACTGGCCTCTGCTGGGAACATCACAGAAATGGGTTTCTGTGTCACAAACAGCCGTATTTATTAACTAGAGTTCCACGATCTCATACCTTCGCCAAATGATGTTAGCCCTTATGACTAAGAAATAATAGATTAATCCCCCTGATTGTGCAAATAGGATCCTATATTGCATATCAATTATATCTGATGATCATATTCTACACCAGAAGACAGTCTTATCTTATCAAAGAATGCCGTTATAGCATTTCCACATAAATTATGCAAATGAGGTCCTTATTTGAATAAGTTATGTGTAATTATGTTCACCTTCACATAACTTTCAAATGTCCCAAGTTTGAAATTCGAGGCAGTTACCACTATATAATTATAGCATTTTCTCATTAATTATGCAAATTAAGTCTTTATTTGCATAATCGATATCTGCCTGTATTTCTGCCATTCTTAATTACATATGTCACAAGCTTGAATAGTGCTATCATGGAATGCAGCTGATTTATAGAATTTCCTCATTAATTATGCAAATTACATTAATATTTGGATAATTATAATATTATTATGTCAAGCATCACTTCAGCTACCTACATACCAAAAATCCCGACGATCTATCAATCGGTTCTTGAGTTATCCGCCTTTAAACATTTTTCAACTAACGTCCCTGCAGTTCCAGAGCAAGCCGCTAGGGGGACCAAACTCACGTCACTTCTTCCCCAGCACAAGAGCTACCTACCATCCAAATTTCGTAACCCTAGCATGTCTAGATCACGAGATATCAAAACCGGAAGTTCAGCTGCAGTACCATAACAAGCCGCTAGGGGGCCCAAAATTTAATCAGTTCCACGTCTCATGAAGACCTACCCACCTACTAAATATCAAGACAATCCATCTTAGCCTGCTTGAGTTATCGTGCTCACACACACACACACACACACACACACACACACACGAACGCCTACGAAAACATAACCTTCTTGGCGAAGGTAATTAGGGCCAGTCCAACTGATACAAAACCAAGCAGGTGAAATTTAAGTCTTTTACCTGCCTTTTTATATGGCTTCTAGGCATATCACTAGAAAGAACCACTTTACATGATTGTGTACATTGTACAATGTACTGTTGTGTCCCAATCCCAACAATTACATGTTATAAGTCAGTTATAGCAATCCTCGTCTGAAACAAAACAGAGGAACACATACAATGTAACTTTAAGTACCTGTTCTAACTAATGCACATGTACATGTAGTACCACTGTGACAATATTCTGTTACATCTCAATAATGAAGAAGATATAACATCTGTGTCCATAATATCACCAGGGTCCAAAATATCGCCACCTTGAGAAACAGTGTGCTTAAAGATATTTTTACTGCAACATACTTTTAGTATGCACTCCTTCACACATCAAATGTACATACCTAGGGTATGTTGCAGTAAAAATATCTTTAAGCACACTGTTTCTCAAGGTGGCGATATTATGGACCCTGGTGATATTATGGACACGGATGTTATGTGAAGGGATGATAAATTTGTACCTAAATGATCTTACTATAGAAAGAGAAAGTAAGATGGAAAAATGTCATAATTACATAGGGTATCTACATGTATGTATACGATAATCCATTTACTTGCAGCTGTTTCCATCGTCCTATAAAACTGACCCTGTTGTAGTGATGACTCCTGTAGGTACAAGATTAGGTAGTGGATCTGACTGTGAGACATCATTACTGTAACATGTGTGTTTACTAATAACTTTCAGGCCAGGATGACTTTTCTTCTTGGATTTCCCCTGGCTAGGACCTAATACAGGAAGCCGTATTTCCTTCTGCTTAGAAAATTGATAACGACTCCTGTGTGATTAATGAACTGACCACACCATAGGAGGGCGGTGTGCTTGATCTGCTGACCCCACTTGATTGCCATGGCAACTAACACTCCTCGTGCCCATACCATCTGAGGTATCATGGCTTGTGTCCTGTTGAAAATGACTCATTGGTTAGTCTTGATTTTGGACCCAGCCCTTTTCTTAGAAACTGCACATCTATAGAGTGTTCATAAGTGCATGTGTACTTGTTCATTGTTATACAAAGCAACATTTTGTTTGCATTTACATACTGGTGTCACAGCTTTTGCTGGACCATTGTTTACATTGTGTTTTTATGGTTTTTAGTTTTTGAGACTCACTCTAAATGCATCTAAGCATGAATCCTTACAACAATTGCTCTACTTGTGTTATTCAGCAGCTACCGACACTGACAGCGAGGCAGCAGACAGCCTGGAGACTGAGGACACATCAGAGATGGACACGCTGGCAGAAGAGTTGTTCGGCTGCAGCGTAGCAGAGTTGGCCAGCATCGACAACAACCTCGCCAGCTGCGACACGACAGGGAGGGACTGGACCCAGCCTGCATCAGCAATCCTGGCAGAACTGGAGGCAGAACAGGCGAACGAGGAAGACGAAGAAGACGAGGGCACAGATGAGCCTGATACCACAGATGAGTGTGCAGCTAAAGACTTCAGCTCTTGCTTAGATATGATAAAACAGATTAAAGGCTTTTGCTTAAAGGAAGGGTTTGGAGAGACACATGGAATGGTGCATGACCTTGAGGATGTTATGTTTGAGATGTGGAATCAGAGAAGGGCATCTGCCAGACAAACCACCATGATCGAGTTCTTCAAGAAAGTGCAGTAGAATTTGCCATTGTCAATTTTGTATGTACATTTTGTAAATGTACCATGGATGTTGATGCAGTATTTTTTTCCCCAGTGAAGCTTAATATTGCAATGATGCATGACATGTAAATGTTGTTTATGGTACCTGTAGTACAGAAATGGTGTAAAAGTTGTGAATACCGTATACACTGTACATTTGCACATGTAGTTTAGTGTCAAACTTTGTTGGTTGACTTCTTTCTTTCTTTAGGCACATGAACACATGTTCATGTCAAGTACTAGTACATGTAAATGACAATCATTGATTCTGTATCTTTTATGAGAATGCTTTTATAGTGATGTAATGTTTTCATATGAGAATAAAGGCATTTTTGTTGGTACTGAAATCGTGTCACTTGTGTGTGTGTGGGGGGGGTGGCAACTAAACGGCATTTTCTCTATAGTGGTCACCTGGCCATAGTGGTCAGATTTGGCCAGTCCCTTGAGTGACCACTATAGGCAGGTTTGACTGTATAGTAATATCACTTTAGAAAGATGAGACTCTTGATATCATGTACAATCATGATAAAACTGATTTTAGTAATATTCTTAGTACCATATGATGTATCTCATTTATGTCATTTAATGTGGGCATGTGCAAAAACTATTTTAAGTAGACGTATAGCCATATGTCACAAACTAAAACAGCCTTTAAATATGAATATCAGTAAATGATATAGATCAGTTCCATCATCTTATTTTTCTTAAGGTTGGGTTGTCCTTGTCTGATTTCCAGACTACAAGTCTTTAACCTTCACCATATGTGAATTATGAATAACTTTGTGGCAGCGTCCAGGAATTAAGTATAACAGGCGCCCTAAAAGAAGTGTTAAACAATTGTCAGCCTCAATTGAGACTTCGCCAATGAAGACAACCCAGCGGGGTTACAAAACGAGATCACTACCAGACTGAGCATTACAAGCATGTCCACAAATTCTCCCACAGTAAAGCAGAGTTGGACATATGGAGCTTTAAACTAAAAACCCACCCACATTCTTAACTGCCATTTTTATTGTCAGATCCCCTCAGCTGACCTGCTTGCCAAGTTAGGTGTGGAAGACATCTCCTCAGTACTGAGATCACGCCGCCTCCGATGGTACGGGCACGTTAAAAGAGCATGTGGCTGCATCAATACCATCGCGGACTTGCAGTTGCCAGGCAACAGAGGCCGTGGCAGGCCGAGAAAAACTTGGTTAGAGTGCATTCGGAAGGATATAAAGGAGTGTGGTCTGTCCAGCACAGACCCACAGGACAGAGCCAGCTGGAGACGAGGTGTGCAGAACAGCCGACTGCTGCCCACCCCTGGGACAGGGAAACCGGCAGCAGTAAAATCTAAACCAGGATAGTGAGTGAGTGTGAGTGAGATCGAGTTAACAATCTCCCTTTAGTTTTCAATCATCTTTGACCTTCATGCCACCTGATTTTTCCCACTGGGACCTTGGTTAAAAAGGTTGAAAATTTTATTAAGGAAAATTGGCAAGAGGCTGTCACATCTGTTTTACCTTGGTGTCAGTGTGACTAAAAAGGTTAAGAAATGTTTTGGTGAACGTTGGAAAAAGTTCAAACAATCCTTATGCAACATGTTGGTAACCCATCCCCAGTCCCACTTTACCCAGAACCTTGGGAGTTGCCAGTGTTGGCAGGGAAGCTGATCACTGTGTTCAGGTCCAATTAAAACATCTCCCGGCTCTGTTGTGGCTGGTTCGCAAATCCATTTCAGATTTAGTTTGGGAATCCATCCGGAAGCACTTGTGGTTTGGGATGTGAAGGCAGTGTTGTTGTGCCCCTCCCCTGGATTAGATCTATGCTGTCACTCCAATTTCAGCTTTGATTTTGTGAAGAATGTTTCTAGGAGAAAAGAGACAGGAGGAGTAGAGTGGAAAGATTGATTGTGTGACTGAGAAAATCATTATAATAGATGTCAGCATATGTATTTCAAAACCAAGGAAATGTTCAAATTGTGAGGTGGAAAAATCTGTTATCTTTGAACTAATCTTTGAATGCAACAGGTGCATTGTGGTATAGCCTAATGCTTTAAATTAATATCATTTTTGGTCTACCAAGAAACTGTATTATGTAAATATATTGTGCTATAGATATTATATTTGGTACGAAGCAGAGATGACACCAGATGGAAAAGATTGCTTATCTTCAGTTTAAATGATAAAGGTCAAGATGGTTATCATAATATTGCCACAGTTTAGAAACCCTTGGCCTGATAAAGACTATTAATTTCACTTTTTAACACCATAGGCTTATCTCTGAGATAAGGAAATTGCTTCCATGCTCTTCCTGCCACAAATGTACCTTCCTTCATAAAGATATTTTGTCAATATTAGAAATATTTTGAATGTCCCTGATAATATTCTTCATACCTGTATTTGTCACTTATGTGACAGTATCTTTTGAAGAGAAAGAAAGTCTGCCTGCATAAAAGAATTCAGGCAAAGTTTGACACCCAGCATTGAAGTTTAGTGGACAGGGCATGTCCTACAGTTGTATGTGTGGTCAACAACCTGAATATGGGTTATGGTAGTGATTTTCCCTATTTCTAAATTTTTACATGACACAGATGAGGATCTGTGCAGGACTACAGTACCCGAGAAAGGAAGGCTGTGGACTTTGCAGAAATCAAAACATTAGGGAGAGAAGGCATTCTGTGGAAAGTGTCAGGCAGGTTAACAGGCAGAAGATGTCTGTCTGCTTGTATTGGATGGGAAGAAATTCAGGACTTGTGGGCCGGGTTCTCACCAGTGCAGATGCACATAAACTTCCTCCTGAGACGGACTCATGGAAAACAGATGTGGGAGTGACACACATCTCTCCCTCTCCCTCTGGGCCCTGCCACTACTCCCAGGGGGAAATCTGCACACCTACACCTGCCTTAAGGTTTTCTTCATCCCACAGACACACAGAGCAAACTTCCTTCTCAAGTTCAGTTCCTTATCACGTCTAACAGTAAAGGTATACCCTCTGACACCTGTGACCTCCAGACATCCCAAGGATAAGCTAGGTTATGTTGCTGACGGCATTAGCGCCTCCCCTATGAATCAGAGAATGAAATGTTCCAAAAGCAGAGCTTCATTTGCCTGCTGGGTCTAGCCTCACTGTTTGAATTTAGGGCACAATGGCTGTACTGAAGCTGCATCATCCCATTCAAGGGCAAGTTTTGTTCATTCTGATGCTAGGTTTTCATGCCGGGGACTTTGCCAAGAAAGATCACGACAGGAGGAACCTCCTTTATGGAGAGAGGGGTGCTGATCGAGACCACTGTTCCTTCACAGTGATGATTCCTAAGGCAGATACACAGAAGTGCTCCAGCCCAGCTTACATCACACGTGAGATTCGAGAACTTCGTGCCGCGAACAACAACCTAACGTCCTTCTTCTCCGCTCTCCACGACCAGACCGTCAGACAGCGAGCGACGCTGGGAGCCATGGAGAGGCGCTACAAGGAGGACTACTCTGAGGACATCAAACGCCTGGAACAGGAAAACAGATTCCAGAGTGCCCTTATCAAGCGGCTTGAAGTTCTCATTGATAGAAAAACCAAGTCGATACCAACAAGGGGTCTGGAGGAGCGCCGTCCGAGTACTTCCCTCAACCTGGAAAAGCTGTCCGACCTAGATGCCGACCTTGTCCGCAAACGCTTGGACGAGCAGGCCCACATGATGGACATTCTGGAGCAGCTGACCAAGCGGCTGGACGGGGAAAACAGAGACCAGGACGTGATGGGGGCCAAGCTGGACACCAGGGTGACCGAGCTGTCCGAAACGGTGGCATACCTGTCCACGGCCTTCAAGACGTTGGAGAAGGAGTACCGTCGACAGATCACTCAGCTGCAAGACATCGTGGTGGGGCAGGAGGCAGGCTTCGCCAAACACAAGGTGGAGTCACTGCAGAGACAGCTGCTGGTCATGCAGAAAACAAACTCTCACCTGCAGCACGCACTGGTCAACCAGTCACGTACCATCCGCAATCTGCGCCTCAAGGTCAACACCTTGTTCCGCCAGCAAGACGGACTCTTGTTGGCTGATGGTGAGAGCACTGTTACCAAACTTCTGAGTAATACTGCAGAACAGTTGCCAAAAGTCTAACATTGTACATCTTGCTTTGCTTAATTGCACAACAATTGTAAGCAGGTACAATGCA